TGTACGACATAAAGATAGATTTTCTTTCTCCTATATTGTATTTAGGTATACAGTGTAGTGAACGAGAACACAAGTGAAGATGATCAAATACATTTGAATACAAAATTGCAAAACATTTTAATAAATCTGAGAATCATACTGTAAATACCGAATTTGCAAAATGTCAACCAATTGTCTCAAACTTGACTGTTCTTTTTGTAAATATCAGTCAATCGTCTCAGATTTCAATGATCCTTCACTTCCATACCAATTGCTATCTGTTCCTGTCTTTCTCCTTGATCTTCTTGACCTTCTGATGACAGATATTCTATTCCTGACTAGCATTATATACTACTTATGTCGATATTATTAGCACACACCACAACAGTATCTTTGATACTATCCATAAAATAATCACTTTTTTCATTGAATTTTATGTATTTATAAACGGATACATTTTACAAGTCACTATTTTATTCAAACGATATGAAACTTTCAGTTTCTTTAATGAATCTAGACATTAACCTTTTGATGTAATTCATTTCAGCAGAATACAATCTATTTAATACTTTAGTCTACCATTGACCTGATCTTCCTTTTAATTTTTCCATATTTGGCAATAAATTAATGTTAACCTTTGTTTGCTACGTATTGTTTAAGTAAAACTTGTTTTACTTCCATACTTCCAACTTAAGATATCCTATATTTCCCTCGTATCAAAAGTTTTCGGAACTTGTGCCATTGACGTCTTAATCTATTTACGAGAAAATAATTCATATTTAATGGTTGTTTGAAACTTCCCATCGATGTTTATGATTGCAATTAACCAGTATCTTTTGGCATATATACATCCTGTCAGGATTGTCTCAATATTACCAGCAAGTCCTAATTATTATAAGCAGAGATGAATGGTAGCTAGCAGTGGAATCCAGGAAGTGCGTTTCGTTCTATTTGGGACTTGTCAACTGGATGTACCTACAAACACAGAGTTGATATTCACTCCAAGACTCAAACTAAGTGTTATTCGCTTCAAACGCCACTGATTTATCCACTTAGCGACCGAGTCTATATAGCTACTGGCCTGTACAGTCCTAAAACTCTATGAAAAATTCAAACAATACATGTGAAATAAAATGCTATCAACTTCATAAGCCAGGGGCTATCAGTATACAGTAGCCTAATGGATAAAATGATAGCGTTTCAAGTGAGAAATACGTGATTCGAGTCCATAAGTGAACATTAATTCTAGTTTGTAGGTACACACGGTTGATGAGTCACAGATAGGGCGAAACGCTAGTCTTGGGTTTCATGTTAGCCACCATCTAATTGAGGAAAGTTTTGTTAAATATTCATACTACCTACGTATTAAAAAATAGTATAATCTAAAGAACCTATTTCTGTGTGCGTCTCGCATTATTTTGAAGTTGGATTTTTTAATGGAAATGAGACATTCTCATTAAATTTACACGAATTAGAGATAGACTGTCGTATAATACTGTGGCAGCTACATTACTGAGTAGAAAGCTTGCAGTAACTAAAGATCTGGATATTTTCATCTTACTGTTCTGTACTTTATTACTATTGAATCGAGTCCAGGACCAGTTTATTTTATATCTGACTGTACATCCTAAACATTAACCTGCTATCCTTTCTCATACTTGATTGTATAGATTATTCTCATAATCTGCTACTCGCCTTAGACTTATCGCCAACTTTCTAATCTTAATTTTATTTTGCTGTTATACCGTTAGTTAACCCTTAATCTTTTAAATACCTCCAGATATCAAACTCAACTTGTATGTTCTTTCTTGGAAAATAAACACTATTCCATTTTTAGCTTCAGAACCTTTGTAAATAATACCTACATATCACAATTTATCATAATCCCAGCTGTTCTGTCCAACTATATGTCTTATATCAATGGTTGTTGTGGCTTGCGATGCTGACTAATATCACATATCGTAGTTACCAAACAAAAATCTATTATAACACGTCTACGATCTCTTCTATGGCCTAGTGTCTTAGAAATAATCAATTATACGTCAAACCAACACCATTAACCCTGAGCTTGTGTAAGATAATCCCATGTTGGTTTGTCATTCCCAAGCTTTTTCCTACTCCTGGTCTTGAATCCAAAGAGAAGCCAGCATGCAACACCATTGTTATTATATTTCAAGCAAATGTGGGTCCTCATTCAAACATACTGGACCACATCGCACCATACAATGAAAAACTACAACCACACCCAAACAACACAAAAGTGATTGTGAATATGAAAAGCTTTAAGTAATAAACTGGGAACAATTTACGAACAGTAAGTCATATTACAATAGTTAGTTTTCTGTTGATCATTTTTAAAAAGTGGAATACCTTAGATTAATTCAATTTCTTCTATAAATTATCATTTAAATTCTGTTGAAAATGTATTTTAGTATAAATAAAACTGAAGTCTAGTTGATTTCAATCTTTAAATTATTTAAAAATATCCATCTACTTTTTGTTATTTTCAAAATCGTGGATAATTAGAAAAGGATTTTGTGAATATTGTAGTAATTTTAATGGTTGAATTCATGAGTCGATAAAGGCTAGACTACCATGGTATATCTGGAAGTACCGGATGGCCGTTTCGTTCTAGCATGGGAATCCTCCCGCTCACGGGATCCGAACCCAGAACCTATCATGAATAATTGCTTTAGATTGGATCGTAGGCTGAGATTTGAAATATAGCAACAATTTCTTGTTTTTGTCAACGCATCAGTAAGCAGTTTAAGAAAAAAAAGAAGAGGAGATAATTTCACTCCAATGAGAGAGTTAACGATGCTATATTATAGAAAATCACTGGTTAAACTACATTTTAATATATCCACAAACTACAGTAACATTATACTGTAATATGAAGGCATTTAAAACCTATTCTGTTATGTATGTCACGGTTATATCTGCAAAATGGTTATCTGACTTGTTTCTGATACTGAAGCTTCGAATCCAACGTCACGTAGTAAGAAAAAAAGGACCGGTGACATGGATCTATGTTACTGGATTGATAAATCAATAACTTAGATGTACAGTATTTTTCTAGACAACCATTACATGTTTCTGTAACAACAAGTACTTTAATGAACGAGAACACGGCTGGATACAACCAGTTTGTTTAATACAAAATTACAAGATATCTTCGTGAAATATGAGAGCCATACATTAAATACTTCATTTGCAAATCTTCCACCAATTGTCTTTCACATTCTGTATGATTCTTCCATTTCGCAATCCCTTTCTATTTCCCTTTTTTTCTTCACTTCAATCTTCTTTGCCTTCTGCCGCCAAGTTTTCCACTTCCCATTGATGTTGCATACTACTTATGTTTGTCGACATAAGTAACACACACCACAATACTATTTAGATTGTCCAACTAATTATTTCTAGGTCAAATTCACCAAAACTTATATTGTTCAATTCATCTTCAAAGATTGAGTTTTTAGAAAGAAGAAAATATTTTTCAGCCTATTTTCATCTTTGACTAAAAAAAAGTCGCAATAAACAACTTTAAATGACGAAGATCATTAGAACTAAGTGAAATATTAGAGCAATACTTTTCGAACAATCTTATCATACAGTTACTTGTTCAGAATTTAAAAGTAAAAGGTTAGCTGAACTAAAAATGGAGGGTAAAAAGAAATGAAGAAAGTAAAGTAGATCATATGAAAAACAATATAAAACTCACCATGCTGAATGATAAATTAATATTACCAGGGTAGATTCAAAATGAGAACTAACTGTTTTTTATATACAATAAAGAGGTTAATATATCACATAGTTCTATATAATTTTCATCTTTTTATTACACTATTAAAATTGTAGGTGGTTATCAGGACTCAGTAGCTAAGTGGATATCGCGATGGTGTTTGGAGCGAACGGTACTGGGTTCGAGTCCCAGAGTGCATATCAACTCGGAGATGCGGGTACATCTATCTGACGAGTTCCAAATAGGACGAAACGCACGTCCTGAATTCCACTGCTAGCCACTATTCATGTTTGCTTAAAAAGCTTGTGACTTAAGGCTATAGCGAGGCAATCCTCACAGGATGCACATATACTAATAAGAGACTGATCAATTACAGTCCTAAATAAAAATGGGAAGATACAAGTAAAACCGCACCAGTGAACTTAATCGGTTTTTATGTACAATAAAGAGGCTAATATATCACATAGTTCTATGTAATCTTCATCTTCTTATTACACTATCAAAATTTAGCAAAAGGACTAATTATTTCAAATCTTAAATGAACTTTTAATTATTAAACAACAATAACAATCAACATATGTTCACTAGTGACTGGCTTCACAAGGTATATCCTGGAGTTCTCGTGAGAAGTATTTACCAGTGGATTTCAACCAAGTCTGTTGTGAGATAGTAACTCACTGAAGACAATGGTGGATGTGTTGCTCAATTTCGTGGATGAGTGGAAGTTAGACATTAACACCAATGGATGCCGGCTCAGTGGTCTAGTGGTTAAGTGCTCGCGCGCGAAACCAGTAGGTCCTGTGTTCGAATCTCGCTGGGGGTGAGGTCATGGATGCGCACTACTTAGGAGTCCAGCAATAGGACGAAACGGCCGTTCAGTGCTTCCAGGTTTTCCATAGTGGTCTAGCTTCAACTGACTCATGATGTTAACCGTTGAAATTACTATAATATCCACAAAATCCATTTGATATTAAATAACAACACTGTTTCGGTATCTCATCACAGAATCTATTATTATTATTACTATAATGCATAGAGTACATTAAATATGGAACAAAGTATAATTATGTAATTTATATTAATTATAAAAATCATTAAATTAAAGTTTTATTTTAATCAATTCATGTACATTATCAATAGAACTATCATGATTAAAATACTTGAAAATTGTTTTTGTTTTTATTTTTAAGTTTTTCATCTATTTTTTTCTTAGTCGACTCAAAGGTCGTCATAATTATTACTATATCAAACTTCAAAGTTGTATACAATCAACAGTTAACAACTACTGTGGACTTTTACAAAATGGTAAGCTAATTGAGAGGATTTGAATGTTATGGAGTATTTGTACATTTTAATAGTTGATTCACATATGATTCATAGTTGATTTATTCACTCATTTATAGTTGATCATTTCAAGTAAAATGTTCTATCTATTTTGAAGCTTATTTATTATGAACAATCAGAATTAAGATAAAGTTAATCAAAATCATGAACAGATCTAATTTAAACTTACGTCTGTTACTCGTCGTGAAGGAGCATAAGCTACTAGCTCACCAGCATTCTCCATCCAACCCTGTCCTGGTCAATCCTGTCTAGTTCTTTCAGTTGTTATTTAGCTTTTTTCATATCTGATTCTATTTCCCGACATAATATGTTATTTGGCTTTCCTCTTTTCCGCTTCCCCCTAAGGATTCCAAGTTAGGGCTTGCCTCGTGGTGCAGTTTGATGATTTGCGTAATCTATGTCCTATCCATTTCCATCGTCTTTTCCTAATTTCCTCTCCAGCTGGAAGCTCGTTTGTTCTTTCCCACGGTAGGCTGTTACTGATGGTATCCGACAAATCGGTGTTGAGTATCTTGTTTAGATAATTATTTATAAGTACTTGTACCTTCTTGATGATGGTTGTAGTAATTGTCCAAGTTTCATCTCCGTACAGTAGAACTTCCTTGACGTTGGTATTGAAGATTCTCACTTTGATATTGGTTGAAAGTTGTTTCGAATTCCATATGTTCTTCAACTGTAGGAACCTCAGTTAAACAGTGATTGTAAATCTGAGAGTAGTGGACAACTTTTTTGTCATAGTATGGGAATGCGGAACAGTACATATTCACAAACCCGCCACTTCAGAAACACTTAAACTCTAGACCATTGAGTTCGGCTTCAATGGTATATATATCCAACTTTAGTCATTCTACGATACTAGCAAACCATGATTCATTGAATATAGTGGACACTCTTTTAGGGTCAACCCTCGATGGTGAGGTCGTGGATATACATATGAAGAGTCTCAAACTAGGGCGAAACAACTGTCTTAGGCTTCCAGGTTTTCACTAGTTTTCTAACTTAGGTCGGTTCGCAATCTTGATAAAAGTCAACAATCTCCACAACCCTCATACATATGTATGAACAACTAACAGAGAATGAGTCACATGATACAAAGTATCTAACTCATATTATCCACTGAACTTCATTATTCTGTATAAATCTACCATACATAACCCAATAAATGACAGTTGCTTTTTTAAACTATACATTTCATATTCAGAAATAATTAATTAAACTTCCTTTAGCATCTTGAAAAGTGTTATAATCTAATATCAAAATTTTGAAATATTATAAAACAACTTATCAATGTTTGCTTGATAATTAACCTTTAATATAGTTTAATGAAAGAGTTCTTCTCTTAACAAGTTCATTCATAAATTTATCTGTAATCAAGAACGTCTTTTATATTAGTATAAAGGGATCGGTAGAGATGATAGAATTCTGATAGTCTAAGTAACTAGCTAGTTTTAGCTAGACCACTCTTAGAAACCTGGAAGAACTGCACTTCTGTTTCATTTGAGTATAAGGTTACTCAGCAGTGCATATCCACAACTTCACCATAAGGAGTCGAACCCACAACTTTCAATTTCACGCACGTATGATTAACCTTTAAACCATTAAGCAAGCATCCAACGGTGTACATGCCTAACTCCAATCAATTTGCAATATTTCTCAAGCTTCATTCATTACCTACTGTAAATAACTGTCTCACACTTGATATTTCTTATATGCTTGTCAAAATACCAGATACGTATAGTTACAAATAAACAACTGATTACATAATTTCACCATGTAAATAAATAACAAACGAAAAGATTATATCATAAGGGTTTTTGTGAATATTATAGTAATTTCAATGGTTGAGATCATAAATCAATTGAAGCTAGATCATCATGAAAAACCTGGAAGCACTGGACGGCCGTTTCGTGCTTCCAGGTTTTCCATGCTGATCTAGCTTCAAATGACTCATGATTATGTATTAAAATATAGAAGATAAATTTGATCACAGTCTTACTTTGCCTACATTATGAAGGGAACTGTACTTCAATAAGATTTCAAAGAACTTCAGTGAACAATCTTTATGATGTAGATCAAATAAAGATTCCACATAAACCGTATATACTCCGTCGACAAATCTCTTTAATAACAGTATAGACAAAAACAAAGTCGAATAGGAGTGTTTCGGTTGTCCATATTTCATACATTCTCCTCGATAAGGATTGGAGAAGTCAGCTATATCTACTAAAAATATTATTCATAACAAGTTATAATCTAATCCGAAATAAATAATACATGGGGCAACAAAGAGACAGACATTGGATAAAAACAATAAGTGTATAAGCAAAAAAACACACGGAAGCATATATGAGATGTGTTAGCGTAAGATTACAAGAACACGAATATAAGAGGTATATATACTGAAGCTCACAATATTCTATGGATAGGATAAAAGTACAAGGATGGTAGAATTGACACAGTAGTAATACACTATCTGAGTTATTAAAGTCCGTCCAATTGTTTAGATCAGTCACATGGGTTTATAATAGCATAGAAGCGGTTACATTATTAATATATCGTACAAAGACAAGTGTACAAGAAAATAACTTGGTTAAATAGTATTGTAGTTTGTTATAATAAAATGTGTTTGAAATTTACCATGAGAGATGATTTTTAAGATTATCAATAGTGATTAGTCTCTAAAATTCGAGTTAATCAAACAGGATTTTCTCTGAATTCAATTACATAGTTTTTGGATGATTTAATTTCACAATCACTAATTCATTATGATCATCCATGGAATCCATGATCTATTGTGATAAACTAATGAATTTCATTTATGTTGTGGTTCACGTTTCCACAAAGTAAAGCACGACATCCAACTGTCTCCTTTGAAAATATGAAATCTGGACAACCGCATTCTGATGAAGCATTACGAGAAACAACCTTATAAAATTGTCACACTTACCTCGTTCCTTGGGAGCGACTAGGATTTCTTCTGGCAGCTTTACGACCAATTCTACAGCACATAATCTTTATGTGCGGTTTCCCATTCTGACATCAATGACAAAATGTTACCATCTTAACGTTTCTTACTGTATGACTGAACGATTCCAGCGACGGAAACGTTACTGGAAACAGCATGAATCTGAAGTAGTAATGCGTGACTTGTCGAACTTATTGTTATCTAAATGTTCGTCGTCACACAAATTATTGGCTTTTATATCAACATTGAAACAATAATAACCTGTAAAATCCTCTTTAGAACTATCAATATTATTCGACGACAGGTTTGCGAAGAGCAAGGGCAAAGGTGTGAAAAAATCTACTTAATTCATGGGATGGCAATGAAAGAAAATTTAAAGCAGAGTCGGTTTAATGTTCTGGGGATAAACACTACGTTGCCAATTCATCTGAATGTAGTATAATCAGTGATAACGGTTAAGTTTTGGTTTATGTAGTCACTCAATTGTAGACACATTGGACTAATTTATACTATGGGATTATTTGGCGATATGACTTTTGCTATGTTGTCATTTTTCCTCTATCATGACTGAGTGCGCTACACTTGACACGTCGGTAGCATGACAGAGTGATATTTTCGTTGAAGAAAACTTTATATTTTTTTATGTAATTCAGAAAAAACGACAGATGACGAAACGCTCCCTCCATCATGGATTACGTTAGTGTAAATAATAATCCCTGATTCATTTTTGTTGACTGCCAGGTATAAGAGAAAAATTGACTGATGATAATAACTCAGTAATTTGCATAGAATGCACATGTGCCGAAAAGAGACCGGTCAGTTTCAGTACTTAAAACCAAAACTGAGACGTTTTAGGCCTTCAGAAATGAATTAACTGTCTTCCGATCCTTCTGATGATATTTGTTACTTTAAAATGTAGTTTTCAAAATGCTCACTATATGGCGATTAAATATTTCAATGGTATTGTTTTTCTCTAGTCTGAAAAAACCAGAAATGATCAAAAAGTTTCAATATCTTCAAGAAGTATTCAGTTCATGATAGCAATATTTGGAATATTTTCATTTACACTAGTCAACATCACAGTTATTGTGAGACAATTTCATCCAAAGTGGAAAGATTCCCCAAGTTCTATGATATTACAAACTGGAATAACTCTGTTTGGTTTCCTGATAATCATATTTCTTGTTGTAATAAGTCAATTGAATGTGAGTGACTATGTTTGTTGAATCATACACTGTATATTGACCTGATTTGTTTCTATTCAGTAACCTTCGATGATAGATGGATCATGGATCGATTGAGGTGAGACATTGACACCGTTGGAGACCGGCTGAATGGTTTGGTCGTTAGTGGTGCACGCGCGACACTGAGAGTTCTGGATTTGAGTCCCATCCACAGAACCATTGGTGCACGCTTTTCTGAGGCGTCCCACAGTTGGACTAAACGTCCGTTCAGTGCTTCCAGGTTTCTAATGGTGGTCTAGGTTCGATGGATTTATGATTCAACTCTTAAATTATATATATGTATATAATCATGAAGTAGTTTCTAAATAGACAGTGAAATTATGTGAACTGAAAAACGACCAAACTGAGAGTTAATAAAATAAAATTTGATTATAATATGGCTGTTGAGTTTGATCTCTATCGGTAGGGTTGTAAAATATGTGATCTTGAGTGATCTGACACCTAAAGGAAACTGTTGTCCATAGCTATCTAGTGTCCAATAGGGATTTAATTTAGTATTATTACTACCACTAGATTGTTTAAAAAAATCTCATTTTAATAGTTGACAATAGAATTACTCAATAATAATGAATCGAATGATATGATGAACTCTTAGGAAACCGTAACATTAATGAATTTAAGTCAACTTATTTGAATAAAAAGAGCTTCAAGGAATACATATGTTTTTAATGTGCTTTTTCTTTCGTTAGAAAACGTCTGAAATGTTAACAGAAGAAGAGAGTAAACATGAATCAATAGATAAAGTAAGTTTATTGATGAGTGAAAGTTAAATTTATGTGCTTTGTGTTACATTCGATCACTGTTTTTATTATCTTTACATATATGGAGTTCTAAGGTCGAATTACCTGCAAAATTGTGTGTAAATTATGGATCTGGTGGTGAAATGGAAGGATTTTAATACTCAGCAGAATTACTTCAATCAAATCAAAGGATGAAATGACAAGAAAATCATCTACAAAATAAACTGTTCCCAATGAAATAAACATTATAACTGATAAAGTGGCCACCCTATTCATTTACGTATGCATGAACATCTACTAGCTGTTTAATTCCATGATGTATCTCCGTTTTCATCAGTGTATGTGGATGATTGTGGATATACGCTTGTTTAGGAGAGTCTTGAGATTTTGGATCGAGGGCATACTAACAAGACCACAGAATTTTCAGAATCTTGACACTCAGATCAATCAGAAATCAGTAAATACATAAAAACCGCTTCAACTTGTTAACAAATTAAATATATCGAGGACAAATATGGGGTCGAGAATCAGATCAAAGAGAGTAACAATCAAAATAACTATGTAAACAACGACAGGTTAAAGGTCATCAGTAACTATTCAAAATCAAGGTCAACAGGACTAGCCATCAATTGTATATAGAAAAATTCAAGTACATCACTTCTCGTGCTGTTACGGATATGAGGGCTGGTGTCACTTCCCGGTATTTCTTGAGGAACCTGAAAAGGAATTTGGATTAATGTCGGCCTTAACGGCCTGGGAGCGTGACCAAAGAGCCCATGGGACAACTGCTTGAGGCCGGTCGCGCACGGCTTTTTTGTAGGAGGTTTTTGACGTGTTAGCTCCGTTCTTCAAATGGCCTTACCGCCGGAGACGGAAATCTGTGAGGTAAGGTGAGGTGTGACATTTTTAGGGTCAATCTTTTCTAACCCCCTCCTTCCTTGTGAGAAGGTAGCATCACTGTAGATGCTGGTTGTCCGAGGGAAACACCTTACTGCTGTCACACCCCTCTACAGTCAGCAGTACGACTTCGCCCTCAGACCTTGAGTTACTGCTTTTAGTCTTACCGTCCTCCAATCGACCTGCCTGGCATGGTAGAACCTACAGGAACATATGTTCCAGTCAATATAGCTCTGTTGGGTCATCACGATAGGCAAGCCCGACCACCACGTCAAGGTAGCAGCTACAGTCGGGACCTCACTTCTACTGGAAGTTTGCGCTAATGATGATGTTTGGAAGAATAATCAAAGCTCCATGATTAAACACTCCAGCTCAGTGAACGAAACTCAACCACATGTTATATAGTGTAAATGCTAAGATTACCAACATACATAACATCAATATGAGTTGATTAGATGAAAAGCTTGACAATAAATTCGTTACACAAAGGATCCCTTGTTTGAAGTATATGTACCTTTAATATTCCTACAAAATACAAAATTATATCTCCATATATATTTATATATTTCATTATAGGAAGTATTGGCTCGTCAAGAAACAAAAGATGATACATACATATTATCCGTTTAATATTCAATTTATTCAAGTAATTTAATTTGTTCAATTCATTTCAATGCATTAGGTATCTTTACAACGGTTATCATCATGATTTATCATATTTAATATTTTAAACATTTCATAAACAAATGAATTAATAAACTCCCTAAGAATTCATTATTATTTTTGCCTTTAAGTTGTATTATTTATTGGGCATTGGGTAAACTTAAATGAATCAAAACAACAATAACATAATCTCACTAGTTGAAATCATGAGTCAAATGAAGCTAGACCACCATGGAAAATCTGGAAGCAATGGATGGTCGTTTCATCCTAATAGGGGACTCCTCAGCAGTGACCATCCACGATAATAATATAATCTATTGATGAAATAAATCATTTTTGTAATTTAAATCACGAACTGGTTTTAGCTACATTATCTTTAAAAACTTGAAGGTACTAGACAATTGTTTCTTCCTAGTATAGGACTTCTTAGTAGTGAGTAATCACAACACAATTCTTCTTGATCCCAATAAGATCAGTTCATCATTTAAACTATGAAAAATCTATTATTTTCATAAATTCCCCCCAACTCCATACAAATAAATAATCCTTAGAGCCTAGGAATATTAGAATCAGTAGTTTCTAAGACAAATATCAACCATAGTTGTATGAGACGAAAACCTTTGTGATTTAAGTTAGAGTTTACCATTTAAAAAAATATTTTTTATAAGGTGTGATCAATATTGGTCGGGTCATTTTTCTATTCACTTCAATTGTTAAATCATTTAAAGAGATGGTGATCTATTACATAATCAATTACGTAAATATTCATGATGGATAAGTGGAAAAACAGAGAAACTTAGTTCATAGGATGTAAGATTTCAGAATAAGCTTGTAAATTCCTTATATTACGATCCACTTCATTTCTTACATGAGTTTGGTAGCACTTTAGTTCAGTTTATTAGTAAAACCACCTCTTCACTTCGTGTCTACACACTTGAGTAATAGGTTGGACCTGTGTATGGGAATAATGCATATCATTATCTGAAACGGATGATCAACTAACAGAAGAGTAAGAAAGACTAATACTGAAAAATTAGTAATACTTTTGTTTTACCGGAACGAAAAATAAATGAACTGGTAGAAATTAATTATGGACTATTATTAAATATATTCCTATTGGATAATTATTAAGTGAGTGGAATATATATACCTTTTATCATAAGCTTCCATTTGGCCTATTGGCTATTATTATACGATTTACTATTTTTAACTTATTCCCAGTTTATCAGTTACAGTATCCTACACTCACATTTACTTCTGGTTTCATGAGGTCTGGTTTTCTCGTATATGAACCACGTATGTTTGAAATGTGATTCATGCAGAGAAAGCTGAGATAGTGATCTAAACTGAATGGGCTGGACTAGGCGAAAAACTACTACATCAATGACCAATAAGGATACAGAGTTGTTTCAAGACTGGTGGTTCTGCTTGACGTGTCATTGGTTTAGCAAAGGAACATGGTCATATGAGTCAGTATTCTGATTGGTGACTTTTTCATGTGATATTTGATGGGGCATAGGATACAACAACTTTTAGCTTATTTACTTAAACGTTCTTTCCATTTAAAATGTTACGTAAACATTTATCTGCTTTTTGGGTCTGTGTAGAATCAAGATTCTTATCTGTTCACATATGATGATGTTTGCTAAGGAGTTAGTCTTATAGGCTTGATCTGATCTTTACTTTTAACATAAAGTCGTACGATGCAATTTTGAATCGCATATTGATGTAGATGTTTGTTTTGGAAACAAAATTAGTAGGGCCATTAACATTATTAGGCTTCTATACGGTTCTCATAAATATATAAAGTACACATTCTGTACATACTCCTCACTGAATAGTCTATCTGTTTTTCATTTGCACATATTTATATTTATATCCGACATTGCTGAGTAAACCTTGCTTGTATAAAAGTAAGAAAAATGACTATATAATGTAGATACTATACTTACCATGTAAATATCCTACATATAGAACAGTTGATTAACTAATATCCCATCCAATTAAGAGTAATTTTGGGAAGAACATTTAGTTAATAATATTTTTTTGTAAACAGTTTTTCAATTTTTTATATCCTACATGCAACCCTTTAATATTTAACTAAATTTAGGAGGCGATAAATTTCCAGTAAACAAATGTTATATTCTAAGCATAGATGGATAGTAGCTTGAAGTGAAATCCAGAACGCACTGGATATACCTGCATACGAGGTGTAGGTATATCCAGCTGACCAGTCCCAAATAGGATGAAACGCGTCTCCTGAATTCCACTGCTAACTACCATCCATCTTTGTTTGTAATGCTTGTGACTTAAGTCAATATCAGGGTAATCTGTACAGGGTATACATATATCAATATGAGACTGATTAATTGCAGTCCTAAAAAGATTCAAATGAACAATACAAAATGTATTGAATATTATATTTCAACAGTTGAGATCATGAGTCAATTGAAGCTAGACCACCATGGAAAACCTCGAAGAACTGAACGGCCGTTTCGTCCCAGTATGGCACTCCTCATCAGTGCGCATCCGCGACCCCGCACCCTGCGAGATCCGAACCCACGACCCATCAGTCCTCGCGCCAGGCACTTAACCAACTAGACCACTGAGTCGGCATCCAACGGTGTTAATGTCTAACTTCAACGAATCCACGAAGTTGAGCCACCGTATACCATTGTCTTCAGTGAGCTGATATCTCACAATAGACCTGCATGAACTCCTCAGGTCACTGCTTCTCACTAAAACCCCAGGAAATACCTCTTGAAGCCAGTCACCAGTGAGCATATGTTAATTAGCATCAGAAGGTGTTTTGTGGAGATTATAGTAATTTCAACAGTTGGGACTGATAGGTCCTGAGTTCGAATCCCGCGAGGCGGGGTCGTGGATGAGCACTGCTGAAGAGTTCCACAATAGGAAGAAACGGCAGTCCAGTGGTTCCAGGTTTTCCATGGTGGTCTAGCTTCAATTGACTCATGATCTCAACTGTTGAAATTACTACAATCTCCACAAAACCCCTTCTGAATATTATATTGTTATTTGCAGTTATTTAATAGATATCCTTGTTGAAAATATAACTTAAAATGTTTGTTCCATTGAAAGATTATAAATAACATTCAAATAGTATGTGATAAATTCAGTATTAAATGTTGTGTAACGGATAGGAATAGAAAAACATCAAACAATTATGATTCTTTAATCTGTAGAGCATAGTACAAAATAATTTAGTAAAGTATTTAGTTTATTTAAAGATGCTTTTCGATAATGTAATAAGAAGACAAAATAATCAGAACTATGTGATGGTATATTAGAGCAATACATTTCGAACAATCTGATCTGATCTGTACTTGTTAAGAACATTTATATTATAAAAATTAAAGGATAACTAGACTGGAAATGGGGGTAAGAAGTGACAAGGGTAATAATAATAATAATAAAAATAACGTGTGGTCAGATTGTTCGAAATGTATTCCGCTAATATACCATCACATAGTTCTGACAATCTTCGTCTTCTTATTACATTATCGAAATTTATCAAAGAGATTAAATGTTTTAAAGATGTTCGTTTCGAAAATGTTCTACTAGAATAAACAATGAGAAGATTTATGCATTATTCACTGTGTTCATTGTGTGTAAATATATTCACTTAAGTTTCTGAGTATATAATCTGTCTAGAATTTAACTCTTTAATTTGAATAAAGATGACAATGAATATATCGATGGTATTTGTAGTGAATAGTATTTTCATCCATGAGCGTCGAATTTCATATATTCGATCGTTTTGATGGTAAGAGTTTGAGTTCCTCCATGTTTTTAAGCTAATGTTTCATTCAATTTTTTTCCCCTAATTACATTTTATTTACTCGTTAAATGAACATTATGTTTCAAATACATTGTGTATTCATGAATTCAAAAAAACTATCTTCACTTTCATATAGTTATACAATAACAATTATAGTTAAACGTTCATAGTTGTTCATTGTCAAATATTACCATTAAACTTGGTAAGTCAAATCGAATCACTAAAAATTGGAACTAATTCTATTTATTACAATTTACTGATGTAAATATACTTAACCATCTGGCTTTAGATGGTTGTACAATCGAATCACATTACTGACATACTCAGTAAAAATAAATGTATTTGTTATATCTGTTATACTGACGGATGAACTAAGGAAGATAAAAATGAATTTGTGGACAATGATAGGAAAATCGTTGACAATAAACAATCGATAGAACAAAATGTTAGCTACTCATGAAGAAGGTTTTTTTGGATACTTCTTTCTGAAGTTTGTACTGAAAATGGTTTCTAGAAATTAAACTATTTAGCACAAAGAACTCAACTTCATCCAATTCTTCCTTATAAACTATAAATTTTCCCTCATTTTATTTGTAGTGGATTATCTTTGAGACGATTCCTTGGACTACTTATATCACTCGCCCTGATAACTGTTACTGAATAAATCTCAACAGTGTATAAATTGCAGGAGGCAACACGAAGCACCGACTACAGATTATTGTTGAATAACACAGATCACTAGGTCACAAGCACACCAAGAGAATCCGAGCAGAAATGTTAATGCGAGCGAGTGAATAAATATGTGAATTAAGAATCAGATAAAGAATAGAATGAAAAGACCAATAAATGAATAAGATATAAATACACATAAATGAAAAAGCGAACGATTCATCGAGCGATTAAAGCAACTAACATTTAAACAAATTACATGGGATATGTGCGTAGGATGTTACATGTGATCAAGCGTACATGTTCATACGGACATGGTAATAATACCAAAATATACAAATTGTTATTGCACGAACAATACTGTCTGTTAGATAAGTCCATGGAAAGACTTAACAAAATTAAACGTAAACAAATTGAAGTGTACGATGCGTGTTACATATTTCTCCTTGTACATTTAGATTGTATACATGAGCTTAGAAAAAATAAAACCCCTTTCAAAGATAATTTAATAAGTGTAAAACAACAACATATTATATATTTCAATTATAAAATGAATAGAATTCATATATCCCAAACTTATTTCATTACTTCCGAATCTAAGCTTTTTATAGATTTTATGCCATAGATGTTAGTGAGG